TTTTTAAAAACTTTTAAAACTTCATTGGTTTTTTCATGCAATCTTAAAACTTCGTCTGAACTCTGGACTTTTACGTGGGCCAATCAACTTCATTGTTTTTCAAAGTTGTTAACTTAGGCTGTCAAAAACGTGGAGGTCGGTCTGTCGTGTAAGAGCATCTCCGAGAGATCCTCCATGTCCTTTCTAAATAAAATGAATAGAGATTTTGTTGAAAAACTACTCTTCAATAGTTTTTTAAATGGTTATTCAAATATAGTCATCTTTTATTTCGGATTTTTCGCTAGCCAAAAATAGAAGACGGAAATGACTCTTTAGAGTGCGCATAAGATATAGAAAAACTGTTGGAGAGTGAAAAGATATAGAAAACGATTTTTATGTAAATGATTTTTCAAATATTAATTTAGAAAGTGAGATTTAGAAAAACTCTTGGATATGCTCTAACACAATTAGCCTATATATTTTGATCTCACCTATATGGCCCGTTCGGCTTACCTTAAAAACCGGCTTATTCGGCTTCTTTTTTTAACCGGAAAAGTATTTTTCTCTCACAACATTTCAGCTTTGGTTTGTTTTTTCAGCCAATTTCAGCCAAGCGAACGGGGCTTATATGTGCGTGGAGGCCGGCCTAGGCGAGCTGTATTTTAGAGGTGGGAAATATTTATATTATATTATTAAAATTAAAAAAATATTAACGTCACAAAGCACTTTAACTCAAGATCAGGAATTTGCAGTTTTGTACACATCTATACCTTGCCCTTATTCCTATACTCTCTTTTTTGAACCCACAAGCGCCCACGTCGCCCCTTCTCCCTGCCCATTAGATTTCCAATCAACGGCCCGCAGAACATCGCCTCCACCTCATACTTCCACACCTCACGTACGGTCAACAGGACTTCCGCCTCGCGAACCTTCTTCGCCGCTGCGACGCTCGCGCCCCGGTGCCCTCCGCCGCTCGCTGTCCCGCGGCCTGCGTGCCCTCCGCGCCGCTCGCCGCCCCTGCCAGCGCCGCCGTCGCTCCGGTCGTCCCCGCTGCGATGCCGCGCCGGCCGTCCCCGTCGCCGGCTCCTTCCCCTCACCGCGACCTCCGCCGGCTGCTGACGCCCGCGCCACCACCGACAGCCGCGGACACCTGCCCGTACGGGTCCTTCCGCTGCCGTCTCCGCTTCGTCTTCGCGGCCATAGACGACGGGATGTAACCCCTGCCGGAAACCTCAGACAACAGGTGTCCGCCGCCGCCGCCGTCCTTCTCCACCGGCTTCACGGCCGCGCCAGCCGGAGGGGCAGCCCTGCTCCGCGTTCTTCCTCCTCCCCATACACGGTAAGGCCTTGAATCCCTATTCTCTTTCCTCTTTCACCTTTCTGTCTTCTACCTTTCCATCGCTCGATGGAATGCCAAACCAAACAAAAAAAATGAACGGAGAAAAAGATGCTGCCTATACAGCCGTCACCTGCACAACCAAACTTTCAGTGTGTCAGTATGCAATTAATCCTTGCATATTTTTCCTACTTCCATCATTACTTTGATTCGTATGTCTTCGATATTCTACGTTACATCTTCACTACGAAGAGCTCCACATTTTCCACAAGAAGGAAAGAACATAGTATGACATTATGTTTCCAATTTGTCTAATGAAAAAAACTCTTGGGGTCTTGGTACAAATAACGTATGATTAAGAAACTGTAAGATTTGTTAGTGTTACATTATATATTATATAATGAGTTCCTGCCAGTAATGTGGATCTTCCTTCGAGCCTTTTAGGCAGTTCAAAATTTGTCATGAAATCTGTCTTCTCATGTGCTTGGTATAGCACACTTCATAGGTCTCTCTTGTCTCTTCAAGAACAAAATTTCCTCTAATATACATGTTCCTGTTAATTAATTCTATCATATTCTTCTAAATGAGCAGGACTGCTGAGTCCCGGTCGGTGCCTATGTCTCCTCCCCCTCACACTACAACCTCAATCCTTAGCTGTCCATGCTCAACAGATCTTCATATTCAACAGAGGTGGCATCAACTGTGAAACCAGCTGGTGAGTAGTCAGCACTTTACTTCTGTCAGTTGACCCTTAGTCCTCTACATTTACCAATTAGTTTCAAGATAGGACACAAAAAAAGGGAAGCCTCTGGCCTGCCATATAGATATTTTCCTACTGATTTTGTTCCCTCTGAATACTTTTCAATCCCTGCTCAACACCTAGACGTAAACCAGTTCTATCTTCGTTTGCAACCAATTTCACATGATCTAATGTCGCCATGCACCCTATTCCTCTAAATAGGTTACAGGGATGCAGAGTTTGAATTTTTTTTACATCAGTTCTAATTAGGCAGTACAGGTTTCATTCAAAGAGTTTGATGCTACCTTCTATGGTACTCATAGTATTGATATGCAAATGTCATTTGCATGCACTATGTACAGGGTCTGCTCTGTTGGAGGCCATATCAGAGATGAAAATGATTCGAACGGAAATATGTTTACTGTTCCATCAAAGAAACATGCAGAGTTTAATAGGTCTCTTCATCCACTAGCTGTGAGAACAGCCTGCTATTTCAAACACTCTATCAGTCTGCTTACTGTGCTGTTCGTCGCCCTCCCACTGCCGGTGGTGTAGTTCCTTCAGTTATGGTTAAAGGCCGTAAGCGCGGGCCTGCTCATGTTGATGAGCCACATATAGGTAATGTTGTCGTTCTCAACGCTGCTGCTTCCATTTGCTTTGCTAATTCAGTGTTTGCCTTCATAGGCATATACAGAGGCATTCATTAATTTCCCTTTCTGATATAACCGGACATACCAGTGGACAACTATGTTGTGACGCTTCCTCTATGTCACCTTCGGATTCGAGAATGGCAGTCTCACAAACACGCCTGGTCAGGCGACCGGCTAGGTGATTCTAGAATTTAATATTTAGTCCCCTGTGATGTTGCCTACTTCTATGTATATCATATCTAATGCTTTCCTGTCTCTGATGTCAAGTTTCACATTTTTGCAAACCATGCCGAGACTACTGCCTGCTTCTTCTATGATCTGTCAAATATATATATTTTTTACAATCAGTAGGATGATTCTTCCTATAGTCAGTAAAATTCGTCAAGCTATATATATAGGCTATATACATATTTGTTGCATTTATGCCGGGCGAATACTCTTTTTTTGGTGACTAGAAGTTCTGATCTGTTTTGTTTTCCTATTGCTTTGATTTAGAAATTGTATTAGTGTTTCTCTCAATTTTCTTCTCTAAGTTATAAAGTGCTTGTTCCAATTTTCTGTAAAAAAAAATTAGCTTCTATGGGAAGCTTATATATATAGCTAGCTTTCCAATACCAACTGCAGCTAGCTGTGCTATGCCTGCCCATAAATATATGAGGCCAAGGTGGCCTCCAGTGGCTGAAAATGAACCCATGCATCCATCCATTAGTTATAGTAGTTTTTGCAACGGCTCTCCACAAGTGTATACATAGATCGGCATCAGCTAGTACCAATATTAGATGCCAGTGTACGTATTTGGCAGACACGGGAGCTTGCATGCAGTTGCTCTCCAAAACTGAACGATTGGTATATATATTCATAGACAGAATTGTTCTGCATTATGAACTTCTTAACTTAGAACACGAGGGGATCAACGGAGATATCCAGAGGCACTGGTGCGCAGTGGAATCCTAAGCTAGGATAGTAACGTGAAGAGAGACGAAGGAAAACCGAAGTTGACTTAGGTAGAGGCAATAAAAAGAGACTTGAAATGATTGAATATATCCAAAGACTTAGCCTTAGATAGGAGTGCTTGAAAACAGCTATTCACGTGCCTGAATATTGATTGTTTCTGCTGGGTTTCAACTCTAGCTTATCCTAACTTGTTTGAAACTTAAATGCTTTGTTGTTCTCGTTGTTGTTGTTGTTGTAGAACACGAGGGGATCAAGATTCAATTGGGATGATGCGTGTGATGTGATCTTATCTCGACCTATAAGTTATCGCATTCACTCTTGGATCAGGTAGCTAGTAGCTTAATAAGCTCATCAGCCATCACTCTTGGATCAGCGTGTTTGAGAAGTTAGCTAGCTTCTGTTGGAAATTGTGCCAACATCAGCTGGGCAGCTATCTGTGCCATGCGTGCCCATATATATACACAAGATATGTGCCCCGTGCGTTGCAGAGTGGCAATATAGTCTGTAGTATGTTGGATTCCGCTACGTGTAATACTAAGAGAGATTGAGAGGAAGGAAAGAACAAGAAGTTAAATCTGAACAAACTTCATGATGCTCTAAACAGGCAACCCACAAGTCGAAATAGTGTTTGAAGCCTGGACAAAAGGTAGACAAAAAACCAAACGCACCCTTAGTATATTGCCGTAACGACCACAGACCGTAGTGATGCCTTCAATCCTCGCTTCTTCGTTTAGCATATGATCTTGCAAATTAAATAAATAAATAAATTCAATATAATTTCTAGAAATTACTGCGCCACACAAATTCTGTGATGAATTCAGAAAAAAATTCTTAGTTGGTGAGTGAAAAAGAAGAACTAAAGGGGCTGCTGCTCTGGCCTTTGGGCCGGAATTTCCGTGCACATGGCCCAAATTCCGAACGTAGCATTCTGTTGGCACGCTGGAGCTGGCAGGCCTTCAGCTAGAATTTTGGGCCATCTAACCTGCTCGTCCTGGAATTAGCGAAAAGAAGAAGAAGAAGAAGAAAAAACGGGGGGCGTGCGAGCGCTAGCCTTTCCTTGGGCCGGTGACTTCCTAGCCCGCGTCGGAATTACTGAAGGGGGGATCCCTCTGATTTGCTAACAATATCGGAAGGCGCGGATCGGCAGAAAACACGCGCATGCTGCTGATCGAGCGAGCACCCCCATCGGTTTCGGACTCCAGTCCACCACCCCATCATCTCTGGACTCCAGCTAGGAGTAGTTTTATTCTATCTCTACTCGATCGATCGCGCCTCTCCGATCCATCACCGTCACCGTATCGATCCATCCAAGCCAAGCGGAGACGGATCGGGACGGGATCGAATGGAGGAGGTGCTACCGGACGACATGCTCGCCGACGTCCTGGGCCGCCTGCCGCCCAGCAGTCTGGCGGCGTCACGCTGCGTCCGCAAGCACTGGTGCTCCATCATCGACGCCCGGCGCCTCCTGCGCGCCCACCTCCTCCCTCTCCGCCTCGACGCCTTCTTCTGCATCTCCTTCGACCTCATCGACCGGCTGACATATTTCTTCGCACGCCCCTCGACGGCGCGACGAATCCCGGGCAGCCGCCTCGACTTCATAGACGGAGAAGATTACTACGATCTGGAAGTGAAGGATCACTGCAATGGTCTGCTCTTGGTGTATGACATGGTGGTCAACCCTGCCACACGGCAATGGGCCACCTTGCCTATCTCCCCGGAACCATCCATTGGCTACTACTTGGGGTTCGGGGGGACGACGATCATGGATCAGGATCAGGAAAACGACGACCACTTGTTGTTTTCACGCTTTTACCTTGTCTATGATCCCATGGCGGAGTCTCCGCAGCACTTCGAGGTATTTCTTTTCCCCTTACTTGGCCATGATCTGGGAAATCACGAAAACATCACCATCAACCTTGAGGAGCAAGAATGGCCGCCATCGACATTCAGAACCCATGTCTTCTCGTCGACGAGATGGAGGTGGGAGGAGAGATCCTGGATACGCCAAGGGGAGACTGTCGGGACCATGGCCGATATGCTGCAATCAGATTATTGCATGGACCGCAAGGCCGTCTATTTCCTGGGAGCACTCTATGTGCATTGTCAAAATGATTCTGTCATGAGGTACTAACTAGCTAGTAGGCATCGTCGTTTCATCTATTATTATTGTACAACTGCATGCTATATATATATGATTTATTTGCTCGATCTAGTGCTCTAATTAAGCACACATGCAAATATATTCATGCTTTTTGTAGTTAATTAATTGCAGGATAGCCTTGTCTAATGACAACAAGTACCAAATGGTGAGATCTCCAGCAACATGGAGCCAACTTGGTGCTGAGCGTGCTACCTTTTACTTGGGAAAATCAGAGAAAGGGGTGTACTCTGCGTTACTTTATTGGGTCGACTGGGGCAGCTGCCCCCAGTTTCGAGTCTGGTTGCTTAAGGAGGAAGAAGAAGAAAATGATGATGGACATCATCACATTCACATGGAGTGGGTGTTGAAGACTAACATCAGCCTTCCACCGCTGCTTGCAAATAAACTTCCTCTTCTCCACAGCGGCTTTGCTGATGATGAATGGAGGGTCATCCATGACTATAATAACAAGGAGGAAGTACCACCTGCTGATGCTGCTGCACATGGCGACGACGAGTTTGCTGCTGATGATGAATGGGACTTTGACAATGCTGACATTGTCCTTGATGAAGCCAAAGATAATAAGGCCGCCGAAGCAGACGGGCACTACCCTGTTGATTTCCTCGGATTTCATCCTTACAAAGAGATTGTCTTCTTTTCCTTAAAATCAGGGACAATATCTTATAATTTGAATACTTCAAAGGTTCAACAGTTGGGCGGCCACATACATATACCAGTGGGCATAAGAACCTGTTTCCCATACACACCATGCTTGCTGACATTGGGGGAATTATTTGAAAACAGTTAATATAAGTGGCTGGCTGCTTGTATCAAATATATATATATATATATATATATACTCCAAATAAACAAACAAACGAAGTCTAAATATATATATATATATATATACTCCAAATAAACAAACAAACGAAGTCTAAATATATATATATATATATATATATATATATATATATATATATATATATATATATATATATATATATATATATACTACTAGCGTAAGGCCGGTAGATGTTGATCCCCCGCACTTGCCTTGCTTATAAGTATATGTAATAATAATCAGAGTGCCCATACATCTTCAACTTTATTTGTCAAAATTATCTTTCGTCATGCATATTTTGCTTTCATTTTAATTTTGTGGCGATGAATAAATATCTTTGAATCACTGCCTGCATCTCGCACAAAGTTGAAGGCCCACTTATATATATATAGCCACGAGCTGGACACTTTTTTAAAAATAAAGAAATGGTGGACACATTATTTTAGTTACTATAGTTGAACGAGCATTTGTTTCAATTGTTTTGAAAATATAACACATAGTATACAAAATAAATATTTGAGATACTAGGTAACTATTTTAGTTAATAGTTGAATGCAAGTTTGTTTCAATTCAATCGAAAATATAACACACATTACAAAATAACTGTCCTTGTTACTAGTTGAATGCACATTGTTTCAATTGGTTCAAAAACATAGTACTCTAACAAGGAAGAAAGAAAAAGGAGTGGTAATTGTCTAACTACACTACTGTAGTTGCTATGTCAATAGTGAATTTGTCCATCGCGATGTATGACAGTCTAACTCTCTCGGAACCATACGTGCGCAACAAATAAATATGAAATAAATAATAAATCCAATAATCTGAGGTGCCAATTCAATCTTATCGGATCAAGTCCACCCATAGTTCAACTAACTGTAATACTTGTTTCGTTTGCCATACATAACCGGTGTACCATTTCTCTTCAGATATATCATCGATTCATTGGCATCATATCTCCAGCTGTGTACTCATCTTTCCTTGTGTTGGAAGCTGAAGATCCCCCTCTGCGATCTGAAAGTACACGTACCAAGGGCACTTGTTTCAGAATCCGGAACACAGCTACATATCATAAACTGAAAAGATCACATAGCAGTGTCCAAATAAATAATGTCTCCAAATCTTTAATGCACGGATAATTCAACTCATTGGGCTTTAATTACCTTGAAGCATAAGCAGTGAGATGCCCATCTTGCATTGGTACACATCCCAATCCAACATTTGAGGTGTCACAATACACATCAAAGCTCCTTGTAGTATTATTAGGTTGACCCCAAACGGGTGCCGAGCTTCTATTTGAGACATTGAAAAGCATCTTCACAAGTTTGGGTCCACTTTTACATCATTCTTGGTTAGCTCGATCAATGGCTTGGCTATCTTGGAAAAGTCTGGAACAAATTGACTATAATAACCTGGCAATCCTAAGAAACCTCGAGCTTGCTTCACGGTTCTTGGGGGTACCCATTATAAATTGAAAACAAAGTGAAGAATGCGCAGGTTTTCCCTTTGAGAAAAAATGCAGAACATGTGCAGATTTTCTCTTTTTTTCTCCCATTGTTACCGAACCAAAAGGATTTTCAATGAACTCGCACATAGATCTAGCTAAGCTGCTTTCACAATTCTATCAAAGGCTGCCCCGCCGCCCTTGTTTACAACTTGACATAGCCACTGTAGGATTCATCGTTCATACATTGACAGATCAATGACATGCTGCCGTGCTCTGATCCATATCTGCCCATTCTGATAAAGAGGAGCAATGCTCTGATCCATATCTGCTCTGAACCAGGGCCTTCATTCTCCATTCTGATAAAGAGGAACTGAGATTACCTGATGACAATAGAGTAGAGGCTGAGATTACTAGCTGGCGCCTGAATGAATGAATGAATTCAGGTCGGATGACTGGACTCTGACTTGCTCCTTCCTTGGGGGTTGTGCCTGCCTGGGCCAGGTCATGGAGAAGAGGCCTATATAGGAGTAGATAGAAAGAAAAGAAGGCCCAGCCTCACCCGACTGACAATCCTACCTCGCTCGCTCGTCTGTGTCTACTCTATTCATGATTTCTTAGGGTCTGTTCAGATCACAGCGAGATTGTCATAATTTGGATTATACATATAATTATAATAATCAGGATTATGAATAATAATAAGAGTGTTTGCATCTTTAGATTATGGTAACTGGTTATGGTTGGTTAAAACGAGAAAATTCCTATCTTATCCTTTATAGTTTGGCAAATTGGACAATTAATTAGAGGTAAATTGAACTTCTATAATTCTTTATAACATGGTCTCACCCGGATTATGGAATTATATATGGTAATCAAGAATTTTGATTATAATAATCCATCACATAATTAGTTATGTTTGGATCAAATTTGATTATATAATCTGATTATTATAATCATGTCCAAACAGGGGTTAGCGATTCGATTCGACGAGGAAACCCCATCCCACCCTCTCTTTCAGCCGGCCTCGCAGCAGCGAAAATACGTCTGTCTATGTGAGTAAATTTTTGGCAAAACCCGTAGCAAATTGACTATTACTGATCATGATCAAAATGCTGCGATCTCACCGTGCTCATGCTTGCAAGTTTGTTGAGTATGAATGGATTCGTGTTGAAGTTCTTTGCCTTTGGAGTTTGGATATTAGTCCAGTGTAGCTGTCATCGAGAATTCGTCGATAAGAGCGAAATGGTTGTTTGAGCAGTTGAAGTGTGGTTTCCTGAAACTTGTATTCACTGGAACTTTAGAACTTGAGAGCTACGCTGAATGTGCTTACATGTTTCTTAAATGTTACATTGAATATGCATATTTTATTGTAAAACATGCAAGTTTCTAGTATATCATCCTAGAGAGAAACACCAGCTGTTCAACTAGGTAATCCTGAACCTGTTCTAGTTGAGATGTATTATGTTCAATTCTAGTTTAAGCATTCCTGTTATTTCCCTTATCTCAGCAGCTCTAGCACCACTGATCTTTTGCCTTTCTGTTGGCATGGTTTATTATCAAATGTGTTGTAATATTTTGCTATAATGAACACTACGGTGGTACCCGAGTTCGCACAGACTGTAGGTTTTTGTCATTTTGAATTTTGATCTAATAGCCACATTTGAACTGCAAAGTGCTGCATGATGGTAGATGATCCAAATTGATGCTTTTTGTTGAACTGAAACAGGCTTCCAATGCAGAAAGTTGATGCTGATCTGTATGCTTCAATCCATTGAAGTGGCGGATACTTTCACAGTTTAACTACCTTCCTCGTGATGTTTCTGGCTGCATGACTAGTCCCAGCTGAGAGCAAGCGTGCTTCAATCCATTGAAGTGGCGGATTGAGTGGTGGAGAATGACAATTGTTGGAATGCTGCTTTATTTGGTACCTGCAATGTCCGAGCTATGCAACTGCGTGCTTACCTTCAGGTTGGCCCTTTAAATGTGCTGGCTCTGTCTGTTACTCAGAAGCCAAAGCTTGTCTCTGATACCCCATCAAAACAAAAGAAAAAATAAACAAAAGCTTGTTTCCAATGCTGCTACACACGTGCGCCTTCGTTTCTCTCATATACTGACCCTCTAGAAACTTTATACAGTATCTCTCAATTCTCTGCATGCCGATCAGGGCTAGGTCATCTTCGCTTTTCCTCACAAGGATTCAAATGTAGGATTCTTTGGCAAATGAGATATCAATGAACAACAAACTCATATAGAATCTCACCTAGTCAAGGAGGAACCTATGTGCTGATTACAAGGTTCACCGTACCCTACAGATGAAATAACTTGAGAATTTGTAACCCTCTCGATAAACATGATGCCTTCTTTTAACTCTCCTGTATAAGACAACATGTAGATGCAAAAATGAGCTATTAATTGGAAAGGAGTAAGTATCAAAGTGTGTCTTCTTGCACACACATACAATTTTAGCGTGCCACTTTACACAAACCAAATCTTGTAAGTGAAGCAATTAGAACTAAAGTTTTATAACTGTAAATGAACTACCGAAATATCCCTGACAAAAGCGAGCCTAGAAATGGCCCAAAGATTACCTTCAAATCGTCCTTCGGAGACTAAAGCAGCTTACCTGCTCCGAGAAGCATGACCACATGCATTTTCCCGTCTTCCTGGCTCCTGAACTCCCACTCTACCATTTTCTGCCAATGGGAAGGTCACAGCAAAGCCAAATACCTGTCGATTGCATATGTATGGAGTAATTTTGAGGAGATGTTTTTAAGTAGGGCTTTTTTTCCTTTTTTATTTTTACAATATAGTGGTGTGTTGCTAATTTAGATCGGCAGCAGAATAAAGGCCTGATAAAATTCAAGCAAGTGCAAGCATGCACAGGCAGAAAACCCAGCAATCCAAAGGCTTGGCATTCTATCTGCTGGCTCCTTGAAGCGCGCTTGTGAAGCAGCCCCTCGGCCCAGGCGACGCGATGGGCTCGAGTCAATAAGTTCATCAATTCGGTAAGTTCAAAGTCCAAACATGAGTCAATAATTCAATATCGCATGTGACTATACTATTTGAGTTTCGCAGTGATAACCTCCGAATCAATATCAATCATTATGAAAAAAAATATAGTATCAAGAAGGATTAGGCACTACTTGAACCTGGATGAGGAAGGGCCCTCCAAACATAGTGGTTCTAAGGCGCCGGAGAGGTATATTGGTTCGATCCGGCGAGGAGATGACGGCTGCAGCCATAGGGGCACTGGATCCAAATGTATCAAGTTTCTTTTGCTTCAAGCCAAACAGCAGGCACACGGAAGTGAACAGTAGGAGAGAGAGAGAGAGAGAGAGAGAGTAGAGAGGAGCGGGTGAAAAGCCTAGTTTGGTTTTAGCTAATTGATAAAATCCATTAGACTAACCCTTTGTCTAAGTGTGAAGATAAAGGGTGGTCCAAGCAAAGTGATGGAGCTACAAGATGATGGCCAATGGTGATGGAGGTGACCACAAGTGAATATCAAGGGATCCAACTTGAAAAAGAA